GGCCCCAGGTTCTAGCCCTATCACCCAAAAAAAACAAAAAAAAAAAAAAAAACCACCAAAAACTAAATACTCTGGGGCGGGGATTTAGCTCAGTGGTTCTGGGGCCTGCCTCGCAAGCGCAAGGGCAAGGTCCTGAGTTCGATCCCTGGTACCAAAACAAAACAAAACAAAACACAAACACTATGTACTCTGGATATTTACACAAAATGTTGTGGTCTCCATTCGCATGTATTCGATTAAATTTATCTATTTATTTTTGGTCTTTTGAGACAGTGTCTCACCATGTACCCCAGGCTGGCCTTGAACTCTCAGTGATTGTCTTGCCTCAGCCTCCCCAGTGCTGGGATTACAGGTGTGAATCACCACTCCCAGCTTGATTTAATTTATCAAGTGTCACCTTTTCTATAAAAGGTGGGTCCAAAATACATATCATATGATCTACACATCACGATGCTCCCACAAATGCTGCTATTCTTTCAAACTTCATCTACTCCTATTTTCTCTATGCTTGCTACTTGTGGCTGTTTTGTCTGAAAAGTACCCTAATTTAATTAAAATTCTTCACTCAAAATATTAACAAGTAACAAAAACAATTTATTGGACCTTTAGGGAACTCAATTTAGTAACAGTTTCTGCATATTATTTTCACAAACAAATATATACAAAGTAACACTTTGAGGCTTCCTAAGTGTTAGAGAGCAGGCACAGACTTGAAGCAGGTTAAATAGCTTTAAACCATTTTCTTTTCTCTTTCTTTTTCTTTTCTTTTTTGTTTTTGGTACCAGGGATCCAACTTGGGATCTTGCACTTGAGAGGCAGGCAGCGGAACCACTAAGCTAAATCCCCGGCCCCTCTTTTTGTTTCTTTGAGACAGGGTCTCCCTATGTAGTACAGGCTGGACTTAAACTCCTGGTGATCCTCCTGCCTCAGCCTCCTGAGTGCTGGGATTACAGATGTGTACCACCATGCTGGCACTCAACAATTTTCTGAAAAAATTTAGTTCTCCCTCTACTGTATGATGGCTAGACATAATCACCAACATGTAAATGCTAGATGGATGGCCCTGTAATGCTGGGAAAGTACAAAGGAAAATAATAAATTCAGGGAGAAAAACATACAACTGGGCAGGTAGGCAGGTTCTCTAGAGCCTTCTACTTACTTCAGTACTGAATTTTCTTTCTTTTTGGTATTGGTACTGGGATTGAACCCTGGACCTTGACCATGCTAGGCAAGTGCTCCACCACTGAGCTATATCTGCACTCCTGAAGTGGTAATTATTTTTTTCTTTTATTAGTTTTTTCAGACAGTTTCATTATGTATTTCAGGCTGGTCTTGAACTCACTTTGTAGTCAGGGTGGGCCTGGAATGCGTGGCAATCCTCCTGCCTCACCCTCCTGAGTGATAGGATCACAGGTGTGTACCACCAAATCCAACTGAGACCCTTATGGTAATGATTACAAGAGCTATCTATTTGCCGAAACTTACAAATTGTGCATTTATAATGGATGATGGATGTAATAGATCATATGTCATATATACCTCAGTAAGGTTGATTTTAAAAAAGGATTGCTAAAAAGAAAAAAAGGATTGCTTCATTTGCTAAGAAGTGGTCAGAAGAAAGATCAACTGAGAGGTAACAATAATCTAACAATAAGCTGGGCATGGTGGCCCACCTGTAATCCTAGCACTCAGGAGGCTGAGGCAGGAGGATCACTAAGTTGGAGGCCAGCCTGAACTACATAGTGAGTTCAAGGCCAGCCTGAACTGCATAGCAAGACCCTGTCTCCAAAAAAAAAAAGAAAAAAAAGAAATTTATTGGAATTTTGGTAAATTATGCTAATCTTATGTTTTTACATAAACTCCTCAAAATTTTTTTGGTAGCACTGGGCATCAGTCCCAGGGTCTCATGCACAGTAGACAAATGCTCTACCACTCAGCTACATCCCTAGCATGAAAGCAAATTAATTAACTTTTTTTTTTTTGGTACCAGGGATCGAACTCAGGACCTTGCACTTGCCAGGCAATCACAGCACCATTGAGCTACATCCCCAGCCCTAATTAACTTACTTATTTACTTTTGAGTCAGGGTCTCACTCTATAATTCAGGCTGGATTTAAACTCACTATGTAGCCCAGCCTGGGCTTGAACTCACAGCGCTCCTCCTGCCTCAGCCTCCGTGGATGCTGGGATTACAAGTATGCACCATTATACGTGGCAAGAAAGCAAAATTTTTTTTGGTACTGGAGATCGAACTCGGGTCCTTGTGCTTAAGAAAGCAAATTTATATATGAAGAGAATTAAATATTAATAGGTCATAGTTACCCAATTAATATTTCACTACTTTAAGGATGCATATGAATCCCAAATTCAAGTAACGTATTAACAGTACTGGAATATTAACAGTACTGCTTGCAGATTTGTCTGATGTCTACTTCTAGTTACATAAGCAGTAACTCAAAACTCTGCAGGAGGACCACAAGTTCAAGGCCAGCCTTAATACACAGCAAGACCCTGTTGCAAAACAAACAAAAAAGAAAGCATAAGCCAGTAAAACATATAGATATAATATCCAAAGTTACACTATCTACACATATGGCAAGGAAGTAATTAGCCAGGAAATCAACCTAAAATTGGTCCAGAATCACTGAAAACCCTAGAAACAGGGAGAAGCAAGGCTGTACAACTGAGAAGTTTCAGTCATGGACTAAGATTTCACACCCTTGGATCATCAACAACCTGCCAGTCCACTCCCATAACTCTTTGTCCCAACCTTCAGTGCCAAGAATTCTCAAATTAGTTTAAACAAATACAGCTGGCCAAGCCTGCGCACACCCATACCTCAGCTACTTGAGAGGCTGAGGCAGGATGGCTGAAAATTCAAGGCCTGGGGGCGGGGGATTTAGCTCAGTGGATTCGCTGCCTGCCTCACAAGCCCAAGGTCCTGAGTTAGATCCCCAGCACCCCAAAAAAAAAAAAAAAGAAAGAAAATTCCAG